AACGGTTTTGATCAATGTTTATGGTTTACATTAAATATACATAGGCATTAACATCCCCAGAGCCTGATGCCTCCAGGTAGCAGAACGAGATAAAAAAAAGAGAGAGGTCATATTTGAGAGAATCTAGAGCTGGAGGCCTCCTATATATATATATGGATCGAGAACCAAAGTTTCAAAAATGTTAAAGGTTCTACAAATGTGGGTTCTAGAACCATGGATTATTGTTCTGGAGCTAAAGCATAGACCAACTGTGGGTTCTAGAGTTGAATAGCCTGGAACCCTGAATGCCACAATTATGGGGGTGTCATCACACTGTTCTAGATTGGTTTAGGGATCCAGAAAGGCCAGGACCAGATATGGGAAGGTTCTCGACAGGAAGAATGGAGATTGGCTCTAGATTGGAATACTCCAGAACCAGAGAAAACAGGGGGTAGGGGAGAACCCCCCTTTTAACACTGGATTGACATAATGGTGGATAGTCTCTAGTTCTTTGGGTCTCAATGGTCCGAAGGCTTGCGGTTCCGATCTGGCCCTTATTTCCTGCCTTGGGGGAACCGGTACCCCCTTGCCGCATCCCCCATGATGTGCCAGTATTCCCCAAACTGCAGCTTGGCCTCGTCGTTGTCCCCAAGGCACTCGATCTTCTCGTCCAAATTCCCGGCGCCCTGCAAGGAGAACAAAGTGATGTTTACCATTCAAAAAAGTAGGGCCTTTGGAGTGTTGGACCCAATATTTTGCAATGCAACCCCAATGGAGATCTTGGGGTTTATTTAGGTGACCATGGAACGTCTTTCTGACCCTCCTGTCCTTTCTTTCAAGGACTGGATTCAACCCCTTGCATTGACCAAGATGGATCCAAAACAAATGTGGAGTGTCTCATATCAAGGATCTAGATTAATGCAATACCAATGGGCATCTTGGGGTTTATTTAGGTGACTACCGAAGGTCTTCCTAATCTTCATGCCACTTCTTTCAACGACTGGATTGTATTGACCAAGATGGATCCAAACACAGAGCATCCCATCTCAAGGACATAGATGAAGGGTCTCTCGGTGTTCCAGATTTACCCTACAAGATCTATCAGATCTATCCAGAGTGATGAATGTTAAAGGAGTGTGGAACATTCATCACTCCGGATGGAGCTGATGGGTCTTGTAGTTGGCCCTACAAGTTGCTCCATGGAAGACTTCACTCATGGATTATAGAGCTTCCACTGTTCTCCAACTTCACTCTTTGATCCATCTTCTGTTGTCCTCCAGACGTACTGGACCAAAACTCCCATCACTCTCAACCAACATGTTTAAGATAGAGGAATAATGAGAGTTAGGGTCCAACACATCTGGAAGGCTTCAGGTTTTGTACCATAGAAGGAACCTTAATCTTTCTGGATGGAATTGATGGATCTTGTAAGCCAAAACATTGAAGGAAGATTATCACTCTTGGCTCATCCAGTTAGTTCACTATTCACCTCCAGTTGTTCTTGACCAAAACTTCCACCCAAAACTGAAGGCTCATGGAAGTTATGGTCTAAAACATCTGGAACACATGGAGCTGTTTTTGTGTGAGGTTGTTGGGTCTTGTAGGCCAAAACATTGAAGGAAGGAGGTCACTCTTGGATCACCCAGTTGACTGCTCACCTCCAGATATTCCTGACCTAAAGTATTATCTGCCCCAACTGAAGGCTCGTGGGGTTTATGGTCTAAAAAATCTGGAACACATATTTTTGTGTGGGGCTGTTGGGTCTTGTAGGCCAAACATGGGGATGAGGTAGAGTTTCCAGTGTTCTCCAATTCACTCTTTTGCTGTCCTCTGGATGTTCTGGACCAAAATCCCCATTGGCCTCAACCAGCATGGCCAAGACGGAGAATCAGAGGAGTTATGGTCCAAAACATCTGAAGTCCACAGATCTAGAACCCTTGAATGAAGAGGAAAGGGAACCTTGAGGAATCAAGTGTCTACCCAATCTTGGGGGTGGCCTACTCACCTTAGCAAAGTGGGGAAGCCTCTGGGCCACCAGTTCTTTGAGCTCGTTGGGGGTCAGGCATTCCTTGCGTCCCTTCACGGCGTAGCAGTGGAAGTTGTTGATGACGATCTCAATGGCCCGCTCAACGTTGGTCAGCTCTTGACTGTCCTGGAGAGTTGGAGACAAACGGAGGAGGAGAAGGGAGAGGTTAAAACCATTTCTTTCCATGGGATAATATTGATCTTCCTGGAACCCCATAGGATACAAGAGACTTCAATGTGATGAGGTCAATCGCCGGAGTTCCCTCCTTCCAGGACACTTCTGCCTCTTTTCAACCATGGATGGCCAGAAGTCATTTCTTATGTGAGGAGCTCTGCATCTCTCCATGCTTGAAAAGAGGCTGAAGTGTCCTACGACGAGGAAATTTCTCAATGTGATGAGGTGGGAAGGGAGAGGTGGGGATGAAGTGATTCTGCCGGATGCCAGAAGTCGCCCTGAAGCCGTTGAACCAGACGGCCTTCTTCCTACACAAACCCGCCCGCCCTGAAACTCCGAATGAACGGAGGCTCCTGCCTGAGCAAGATCCAGGGGGATCCGCTCTACGTTCCACTCGAGGCCCAATCCTCCACTCTTGAGAAGTTGAGCTCGAAGCCCATTCCTTGAGCATTGAAAAGTTCAACTTGAAGTCTGTTCCACAAGTGTTGAAAAGTTCAACTTGAAGACGGTTCCTTGAGCTTTAAAGGGTCCAACTTGAAGTCCATTTCTCAAGCCTTGAGAGGTTCAGCTTGAAGCCCGTTCCTCAAACCTTGAGAGGTTCAGGTCAAAGCCCATTCCTTGAACCTTGAGAGGTTCAGCTTAAACCCTGTTCGTCGAGCCTTGAGAGGTTCAGCTTGAAGCCCATTCCTCAAACCTTGAGAGGTTCAGGTTAAAACCTGTTCCTCGAGACTTGAGAGGTTCAGCTCGAAGCCCGTTTCTCGAACCTTGAGAGGTTCAGGTCAAAGCCCATTCCTCGAACCTTGGGAGGTTCAGTTCAAACCCTGTTTCTCAAGCCTTGAGAGTTTCAGATCAAAACCCGTTCCTCGAGCCTTGAGAGGTTCAGCTTGAAGTCCATTCCTCAAACCTTGAGAGGTTCAGCTCAAAGCCCATTCCTCAAACTTTGAGAGGTTCAGGTTAAAATCCATTCCTCGAGCCTTGAGAGGTTCAGCTCAAAGCCCATTCCTCAAACCTTGAGAGGTTCAGCTCAAAACCAGTTCCTCAAGCTTTGAGAGGTTCTACTCAAAGCCCGTTCCTCAAGTGTTGAAAGTTTCAACTCGAAGTTCGTTCCTCGAGCCTTGAAGGGGTCAGCCCTATTCCAGGAGCTCTCAGGTGGCCCACAATTAATATCTATGGGCCACATTTCACATTTTTGGGGTCTTTTAAGGTCCAGGGGACACCTTCCCCAGTACTTCATCCAAGGACACTTCTGGGCCTGCACCAAACCGAGTAAAAGGACATCCAATTGAAGCTTCTCATTTGGGGCCAATGTTTGGATTTCTGTGTTAATGGTCCTCTCGTTTCTTTTAGGGGAGAAAATGCTATCTCCTTGTCCACCATCATTGTTATAGAGGATGTTTGGGGGTCACTTGGGGTCCCACCATTATGGTAAAAAGATAGTCCTTTAAGAAAAGATCCCACCTTCAAAATAAGGTCCTACCATCATGATAGGAAGCTGATCCTTTAAGACAAGGTTCCACCATGACTATGCAGACAAGGCCCCACCATCATGGTTCCTCAAGACAAGATCCCACCATTATGACAGTAAATCAGTCACTTAAGACAAGGTCCTACCACCATGTTTCCTCAAGACAAGGTCCCACCATCATGATATTAAACTAGTCACTTAAGACAAGGTCCTACCACCATAGTTCCTCAAGACAAGGTCTCACCATAATGATAGTAAACTGGTCAGTTAAGACAAGGTCCTACCACCATGGTTCCTCAAGACAAGGTCCCACCATCATGATAGCAAACTCGTCACTTAAGACAAGGTCCTACAACCATGGTTCCTCAAGACAAGGTCCCACCATCATGATAGTAAACTAGTCACTTAAGACAAGGTCCTACAACCATGGTTCCTCAAGACAAAGTCCCACCATCATGATAGTAAACTAGTCACTTAAGACAAGGTCCTACCATTATGGTTCCTCAAGACAAGGTCCCACCATCATGATAGTAAACTGGTCACTTAAGATAAGGTCCTACCATCATGGTTCTTCAAGTCAAGGTCCCACCTTAACAATAGTAAACTAGTCACTTAAGACAAGGTCCTACCATCATGGTTCCTCAAGTCAATGTCCCACCTTAACGATAGTAAACTAGTCACTTAAAACATGGTCCTACCATCATGGTTCCTCAAGTCAAGGTCCCACCTGAATGATAGTAAACTAGTCACTTAGGACAAGGTCCTACCATCATGGTTCCTGAAGACAAGGTCCCATCATTACTGTACGAAGCTAGGCCATCAAGACAAGGTCCCACCTTCATGATAGTCCTCCAAGGTAACAATGCAACTCTTGACCTACCATAGTCGCTATAGGTGATGTTTTAGATTTACATGCACTATATATATATATCACCTATAGCAACTATGGTAGGCTGAGGGTTGCATTGTTACCTTGGAGGATTATCATGAAGGTAGGACCTTGTCTTGAGAGCCTAGCTTCCTACCATAATGATGGGACCTTGTCTTCAGGAACCATGATGGTAGGACCTTGTCCTAAGAGACTAGGTTACTACATATGCATCAATCTCAGGAGTATGCTATGCCTTAATGTGGGGAGTTGGTGCTCAATTGCTGGGCACCAATGTGCCCATAGATAGGCCATGCAAACTGGCCACTTTGCACAACCCCATGTACAACGGTGCTCTCTCCTTGGTGCCACAATCATGACTCAATGCTATGGAAGCCTCTTTGAACTCTTTGGGAAACTACGACTCCCAGGATTCCCATGGCAGTCAAAGGCTCCATCAGGCTCAAACAGCAGATTGAACTGGATTAAACATCAGTTGTGGACAGTGGCCAAAGTGGTGTCAAAGGACATGAACCCCCCCCCCCCCCCCCCCCCCCCCAGTAAGAGGGAGGACCGTCCCAGTTGTTGTTCCTGCCTTTGGATATTGGCTGATGATGTCAATCCAGGGCTATGGAGCATCCCACGTTTGGATAAATATTTGTTTTGGGGCTCTTCCGGGGTTCGGTCTCGATCTCGGGAAGGATCAGGAAGAACCTGTTTGGACGCCGAACGACGCCAGAAAGAGCAAGGCGTTTCCCTGGATGAGCTTCATTCCTTGGGAAGCTCATCCCGATAAACTCCGGGCCCCTTAGAGGCATCCGTGATAGGAGCCAATGGCGCTCAGTGCAGATCAGGTATCGCCTCTGCACTAAACCCACCCAATGTGGCCCCCGTTGTGTCCTTCCAGCCGTCCATATTCCAGTCTGGGGGAGCCACTGGTCTTCCCAATAGGTCCCAACCATCAAAAGTAACTTCCAGGTGTTGATTCCTGGCCTTGAAGTCTACAACCCGGAGTGGGACCTGGCTTGGCTTCCCTCCTGCCTTTATTGGCCCCGTCGCGGCGTCGGGCATGGCTCTGACTCAGTCCTTGATTGGCATCAGCCTTGGCTTCTCCTGGCAACGCAGGCGGGGTCTTGGGAGCCAAACCGAGGTGTCGCCCCAGGTGTCCGCGGCTCAGTGGCCCAACTGGAAGGGACTGGTTTGGCCGGAGCTTGGCGTTTCCTGGTGGGAAGGTGGCTCCCATAACAACGTCCCAGTGTTGTGGTAGGAAGCTGGTCTCTTGAGACAAGGCCCCACCATCATCTCCCTTAAGAAAATGTCCCATCATCATGTCCCTCAAGACCACCATTATGGTAGGAAGGTAGTCCCTTAAGCTTGTCTCTCGAGACAAGGTCCCACCATCACGTCCCTTAACATAATGTCCCACCATGATGTCCTTCAAGACCACCATTATGGTAGGAAGGTAGTCCCTTAAGCTGGTCTCTCGAGACAAGGTCCCACCATCATGTTTCATAAGAAAATGTCCCATCATGATGTTCTTCAAGACCACTATTATTGTAGGAATGTAGTCCCTTAAGCTGGTATCTCAAGACAAGGTCCCACCATCACGTCCCTTAAGAAAAGGTCCCACCCTCTAGATCTCTCGAGACAAGGTCTCACCATATTGTCCCTTAAGAAAAGATCCCACCATCCAGATCTCTCGAGACAAGGTCCCACCATCATGTCCCTTGAGAAAATATCCCATCATCACGTCCCTCAAGACCACCATTATGGTAGAAAGATAGTCCCTTAAGCTGGTCTCTCAAGACAAGGTCCCACCATCATGTCCCTTAAGAAAAGGTTCCACCATCCAGATCTCTCGAGACAAGGTCCCACCATCATGTCCCTTTAGAAAAGGTCCCGCCATCCAGATCTCTCGAGACAAGGTCCCACCATCATGTCCCTTAAGAAAAATTCCCATCATCATATCCCTCAAGACCACCATTATGGTCAGAAGGTATTCCCTTAAGCTGGTCTCTCAAGACAAGGTCCCACCATCCAGATCTCTCAAGACAAGGTCCTACCATGGTGACAGAATGCTAGTCCCTCAAGACAAAGTTCTCCCATCATGGTTCCTCAATCCAAGGTCCCATCATAATGGTAGGAAGCTGGTCACTCAAAACAAGGTCTCATCCTTATGGTAGGAAGCTAGCCCCTTGAGCTGGTTTCTCATGACAAGGTCCCATCATGATAAGAAGCTTAGGAAAAAGTCCCCACCATTGTGGTTCCTTAATACAAGGTCTCATCATTATGATAGGAAGCTAATCCCTTAAGACAAGGTCCCACCTTCAAGCTAAGGTCTGTCGTGTAGGAAGTTTAAGACAAGGTCCCACAATCATGTCCCTTAAGAAAAGGTCCCACCATAATGGTAAGAAGCTGGTCTCTCAAGATGAGGCGCCACCATGATGTTCCTTAAGAAAAGGTCTCACCATTATGATAGGAAACTGGCCCCTGAAGAAAAGTCCCACCTTCAAAATAAGGTCCCACCATCATAATAGGATGCTGTTCTCTCAAGACAAGGTTCCGCCATTATGGTAGGAAGCTTGTCCCTTAAGACCAGGTCCTATCATAGGAATTTGGTCCTTCAAAATAAGGTCCTACCATCATAGTAGGAAGTTGGTCTCTGAATACAAGGTCCCACCTTCATGTCCCTTAAGAAAAGTTTCCATCATCATGACCCTCAAGACAAGATCCCACTGTCATGGTAGGAAATGGGTTCCTTAAGATAAGAGGTCTCTATGTCTCATCATCTCAAGAAGACGGAGAACCACCTTGACCTTTGACTATCACCATCCAAGGTCCCTCTAACATGGATGGCCAATGGTCAACTATTGGTGAATGCCATCCAGCTTTTTTGGCCCAACACCACAGAGCTTTTTGGAGATGATCACCATGAACTCAAGGTTCATCCGTCATCCATCTCCAGAAGGTTCTCCCTCGGACCTCCTC